CATCCTTGCAGGCGCGGTGCTGCTGGCTGGCCTGGCAGCCCTGAACTCCGTGTCCTTCGTGAATCCTCAGCCCGTTGAGAGAAGCAGCCGCATGGCCATGAAGGGTGCTGCCAGGGAGTGGGATCCTGTGCTGACCCGGGATGTGGTCGAAGTCATGGCCACTGCTCCAGCCCAGGGTCAACGTTACCGCATGATGGTGCGGGCTGATGCTGATGTGTCTGAAGTGATCAAGGCTGCCAGGAAGAAGCTGGCATTTGACCAGGACTGGATCCCTGACTCTGACTTCAAGCTCTACAACGCCGATGACGAGGCAGCAGGACCCATGAAGGGCAAGATGAAGGACAATGGCCTGATTGACTTCTCCTTCGAGATCCACTTGATGTATGAGCCTCAGTGATGTTTGTCTGCGCAGACATTATTTTCTCCCGCATGCTTCTCCGGCACTGGCTCTGCTTAGAGAAAGAGGAGTGCCTTTATTTGTGAGAGAACTGGGCGACTTCTGGTGCATTGTTTCTTCTCGTGGCAAGTGTATTCGATTTTGCAATTGAAGTTGTCCTTTTGCATGGTCAGCTTTCGGCTCACAGGTCAACTGCATGCACTGCAGGGTGGGGTTGGTGATGCACTTGTTTTGTGAGTTAGTCTTCAAGCATTGTAGACATAGATGCAAATTAGGAACCTGAATCAATCATGGTATCTATGAACATGAACCGTGTATGTAGATTGAAATAGAGAGATCTCTCCTCTCCTAACAGAAGCTGCAGGGATAAGCATCAAAGCAAACATCAAGCTCAAGGGTTGAAGAGCAAAGCTAACAGTATGCTTCCGCCAAAGATTGTCTTTGAAGGCTCCTTAATTCGATATCATTTGTATTTCCTGTTGATTGGCTCCTTAGCCTGTAAAGTTTTCAGTCTTCAGAGGCTCTTGTTTTGGTTTCATGGATCTTTTGTTGATGTGTGCCTAGCTTAGTCCCAGTGATTGCAGGCTCGATTGTAAAAGCTGAACAAGTGCCTCCAGCTTTGAGGACCTGGCTTTGACAAGCAGAGAGTCCTGCCGTCCTTCTCAAGATTTTTGTCTTTTGCTTTGAACATTGAGCAGGAGAGGTGGAGTGGTTCCTGGTGCCGCAAAACCCTGAAGCAATGACAATGAGAAGCAACGACAGATCTTTTTAAACTCACATCTATAGCTACTGCAGCCGCTCTCAGTTCTACTGTACCTTCGTACAGTGTCTGTTCAGAGTGGGAGAAACGCGCGACACAGGCCACGCACAACAGGCCTGCAAACTTTTGTATATTGGAGGCACTGCAAAACATAGCAGTAGAACGTTTAGACAAATTTGCTCAGGACAGCATCACTTGTAGTTCACTCGAAAGAACTCAGCACCCAGAGTTGTTTGATTGAAAAGAGTCCAAATGAAGAAAAGCTGGCTCATTCAGTTTACCTGTGCATTCACCAGCAGCTTGCTGCAATGATTCGATCTCCTGTGAGTATTGAGACAGTCGCTCTCACTGGTGGAGTTTGTGTCGCCGTGCTTGTGTGGCTTCGTAGAAGGCCAGCATCTTATCCTGGAGATGCCATACCTCCATCCAAACAGTTGAAGAGAGAGGCCAAATTCCAGGAGAAGTCGCACAAAGTCGATGCTGGCTGGAAACCGTGTGTTGAAGCGCAGTCTGAGGTTTTGCCACACCAAGTCTCTGGCCAGCAAGTCTGGGTTTATTCCTCAGAAAAGTCCGAAGACCCAGTGCTGTTCTCCCCGGCTAACAATCCAAACAGCAGTGACCACATCTTCCGACAGGCAAAGCTGAAAGAATGGAAAGGGCCACAGCCAGACAGTGACATCCCACTGGATTGCCTCAGCGTGGTGCGCAAGGGCTTTAGTTTCTATCAGATGCTCCAATGTGATGATGGTCAATGGGCAGGTGACTATGGAGGTCCACATTTCCTGCTGCCGGGTTTTGTGATTGCTGCTTACATCACTGGGCACATGGATACAATCTTCCCTGCACCTCATTGTAAGGCCATCCAAGCCTACCTACTGAATCATCAGCAAGAAGATGGTGGCTGGGGATCGCATATCGAGTCTCCCAGCACCATGTTTGGGACCGTGCTCAACTATGTTGCTTTGAGATTGGTTGGTGTGGAAGCAGAAGAGGAGGCCTGCCAGAAAGGGCGACAGTTCATGCGCCAACATGGTGGAGCTTTATATGCACCTTCCTGGGCCAAGTTCTGGTTGGCAGTCCTTGGTGTCTACGAATGGCAGGGCATTGCTCCAGTGCCACCAGAAATGTGGCTCCTACCGCAATGGTTTCCTTTGCATCCGGGAAGGTTTTGGTGCCACTGCCGAATGGTTTATTTGCCGATGTGTTGGCTATATGCGCGCAGATTCACCTTCAAAGCAGCAGAAGATCCAATTGCTTCAGCACTACGATCTGAGCTTTACCAGGAAGGTCAAAAATACCAGCAGATTGAGTGGAGGCAGGGGCTGGTTCGATGCCTTCGTTCGGAGAGTTCATCTCCTCAGCCCTTACTTCCTGCTTTTGGAGCATCGTTTGTCATGTTTGCCTCGATTTCTTTTGAACATATGCTTCGCTTGCATCGCTTTAACCTCTTGCTTGGCAATAAAAAGAATCCAATCCTAATTAGTGAGTGCAATGTGTGAACAAAAGAGTATGATACAAGACAACTTAGTTTCAACAATTCCCAGTTCAATCCAGGGCTCTTGCTTCAGTAATCCAATCAACGTGTTCTCAAAACCGCAAGGAACATAACATCAGATTGCACCAGCCGCGGAAGGTCAATCTCTCCACTAAGGAAGTCTGTGCTCCCCTAACATCACCTCTTGCTCTTGAACAACATATATATATATATATATGCGACGCTCGTCGGATGGTCTGCGTCGACGATATGGTAGACACTCAGGTCTATCCATACGCGAGAACCCCTCATGCACAGGTGACAGAGCGCAAAGAAAACAGCCTAAAAGGATAAAAATGGAGTCCGCAGCGTCTGTGCTACGGCCAGCAAAGACGGATTGGATAAAAAGGGGGTCGCATCAACAATTGCTCTCCGGCAAAGTGTGACTGCAGCACTTTACATGTGTAGCACTAAAAGACCTGGACGCTCTCATTCTTCAGAATTGAAAAGCTTGTCAGAGCATGCAGGTGGCATGCATGGTGATTTGTTTGTCACCGATGTCCATTATGAAACGCTACACTCAGCTCGCAAAAAGCTATGGAATCTCCTTTCTGTTTTCGCCAGCGAAGTGAGGCGGCGAAACGCCAAACGGTTGTCCGGTCTTCACTAGTGTAATTCCACCGCTGAGGTGGAGGCAGCAAGTTTGGCAGCTTTGATTTCCATGTATACTGCGACTGAATAGCACCCCATGGCCACTTCGGAAATGTAGCCTTTGCTGTAGCCTCCGTAGCTCGAGTAGCAAAGAGGCATTGACCGCAGAAGACTCATCTGTTGGCTCACGTGTGGTATCAACATGGCTGTGAAGACGCACCAGCCAATCCTGATGTAGAGTGGCAGCAGCATGGACCAGCTTTGGCATATTCGGAAAGAAAGGAGAAATGCTGGCTGCGCAGTGCACAGGCTTTTGTACCCAGCACTGTCAGGTTGACCTACTAGAGGTGACACTTGAACCTTTGGTGAAAGCTGAAGAATGGTGTGAGGCGTCAATCAAAGCCAAACGCATCCTGTAAGTTTGACAAAGCTTTGAGGACATGCATGAATAGACTTTGTGGGTCACATCGAACTTCAGATTTGCCAGGAGTGACTTCCCAAGTTGAGAGTCTTTCTTTGCGAAGTGCTAGTCACTAGTCCCTGTGACTGTTCCATCACTTGTGCATTTGATGTGGCTGTGATGCAAAACCAGCTGAAGCCTGATTTGACCTTCCGTGATTTAACCCACCCTTGGCAGTTTTCACCAACTCCAGGTTGTCAAGTTCTCTCACGCGACACCCTTCTGCTGCTATTCAAGAAATGTATCATGAGTTCTAGCAGATTGAAAGGCCCCTACAGTATATAATCCCAACTATCGTGAATCAAGATAAGGTTGTGTACTTTAGCTTGTGGTGATGGAATGAACCATCATCCTCTTTTGCCCGATGCCGTCAGAATAGTGGCAGAAACATGGTGTTCATCATAAAACCTGGAATCTTTCTTGTTCCTTTTCTTCCAGAGTTTGGTCTGACAAAACCATTTAATAGGACGTTCGCAAGGGCAAATTGACTAAGAAAGTTCATCTGGACTTAAGTTGGAAAGGCGAGAGATCACCACGAAAGCTCTGACTTGATTCTATATTACTTTTGATGTATATAGAAGTCTTGAGAGAATCGCAGCCTTTGTGTGCTTCTTGTTTCACTTGCAAATTGCATTCCCCGTACAGCCGCACGCTTTATCAAGTTCCTCACAAAACTAAAGACTGCAGAAAAAGATGGTACTGTTCAGTCCTGAAAATTCTAGGCAGTAGCAAGGGCTTTTTGCCTTGCTCCGAAACAGATTGACCAGTCAACATGGGAGACCAGTCAACTTGGCGTCATAGGAAGAGGGCCCCAGGCATGTTTCTTAATTACGGAGATGCTCAAGGAAGTGCTGTTGGTCCTGGAAGACCCTTCGAGACTAGCCATGTTGTGTAAGTCTTGATGTTTTACTGTCGCGCATTGGATTCTACTAACCTGGTTTGCCAGTCAAGAATCCGGGGGTACTAATTCAGGCTATAAATCAGCTAGAAATTCAGTATGTCTTACTTGTCACAGCAGTTTACCAGCGCTTTACCACTCGCTTTGCCACACCTTTCTTGGTCAAACCATCCGGACCTGAGAGGCGGTATGTGCATTCCGTGGCCGACATTGACAATTACAGCCCAATCCATCCCTTCATGCGGGTGTTGCAGGACAGGGATTCTGCTCTTGTAAAGACACACATATATATATATATCATTATATGTATAATTATATATATACACATAGAACTTGCGCTGAATAATCATGCTGCCAGGAGGCTCTTCTCCTTTACGAACGTTTTGGCCCATGGAAATGGCTGAGAAAGATTAGCAGTGATTTTGCCTTGGAGTACATGCAGTCTGAGGAGCCCGTGGCTTCGCATCATGAATTGAAGCAGTGTATCGGGTGTCACAGTGTCAATTTGCGAGGATTTGGAGACAAATTATTTGACGATTGGCCCTGTGAGCAAGGCATCATTGGTCCTTGGTACATACACAAAAAGGATAAGAACGGCACAAGACAAGGTTCATGTAGTGTATCTTGTGGCTTACTTCAGGCCCTTCACTTGCTTGCCAGCTGGGTAGCGGCGGGAGGAGAAACCGATTCCAATTCTGCTGCAAGAAGCACTGCCTTTAGGGCGCATGTGCAGCGAGTTCCAGCCTACCTTTGGGTCGCTGAGGACGCACACTCAGTCAACCAATCTGAATGACTCTTTCTTAGGCAAACGATGAGGGCTTCAGCGGCTTCATTCTTTTTTGTTGAGCAAACGAAGGAAACTAGTAGCGATGCACTTGTTACTAGTAGCTTCTTGTTACTACTAGTAAGGCACTTGTTACTAGTAGCGATGCATTTGTTACTAGTAGTGATGCACAAACAGCTTCTTCCCGATCACCCGTTTACTGTAAATACTCTGAGGATGGTATGAAGGTCCAGGGCTACAATGGAAGCATGGCCTGGGACACGTCATTTGCCATGCAAGCAGCGGTTGAGGGCGGCTTGGTCTCGGAGTTCAAGGACCAGGGAGAAGCCACGTGGCAGCTTGTTTTCTTGTACCCTTTGTAACACTTTGTATCACTCTATGTTCACGTGTTTGGCCAAACTGTGAGGACATGTCAAAGAAGGTGTGGGACTCAGAGCCGAACGAAGAAGACAAGTCAGATTATCACGTCCCACCAAGGCTTGGCAATGGCTGGTTCAAGAGCAGGTGCGAAGTTTGCCTCACGGGGATTGGAGACACTGGCGGCAACCCATCCAGGGTGGCTGGGGTTTCAGTGAGCATCTCAGCTTCCCTCAAAGCAACATACTGGCCATGCTGGATTGCACAATCTGATCTGCATACTCCAAACCCGGCATGATGCTCTCCCTGTCATCAGGCACGGCAGAGCAAGCGTGGCCTGTGTCCGCAGCTTGACATGCAGCTGTTTTGCGCATTACGTATCCCTAGTCTGGGCCCACGCGTTACATTCACGGTCATCCATTGGATCCAAGGACACCACAGCTGAAGCCTTCAAAGCTGTGCTATTGCTTCGCAAACATGCGTGCATCAAAGCAGAAGGTTGCTGAGCTGATTGGCTTTGATATGGTAAGGTTTCCAGTTTTCTGCACGCACCTCAGGTGTACCCATGCCAGATCAGCATTTGTTCGACACCGTTCGGTTCCTGTTGTCCTACCAGAATGGTGATGGGGGCTGGGCGACCTACGAAAACAATCGTGGCTGGAGTTGGTATGAGCTCCTGAACCCTTCGGAGGCTATTTCTGAAGATTTTGGAATAAGAGATGCAAAGTCTCTCTTTACTTAGCTCTAGCATTGAACTGGCTGGCAGGTTTTTGGGGATATCATGATCGACTATTCGTATGTGGAGTGCTCCTCTTCAGCTATGCAGGCCACAGGAGAAGCACTATGAATCAGCATGAATCAAGAAAAGAACGAATCTTTCTTTGCGACTTGAAGGTTCAGGAAAATCCAGTGTTTACACATACCGCTACTGAGCAAGAAAAAGACACGTAATTGACAATAACGCACAGTTTGTGCGGTGTAAAGTCTATTTGTCATCAACGCTTTTGCACGCTAAATTCTTACAAGTGCATTGACCTCATCCTTACCAAAAGCCAAAAGCACTGAAACACCAAAGTGACGTTCTGTTCTAGTGAAAAGGAAGCTGCATCCCGCGTTTGGCCACGCCCATGTGAAGCAAGCAACAAGACAGCTCACATATGCTTAAACACTTCGGAGAAAGCTCACTAGCAGCAGAAGCTGATGTATGACATGCAATGCAATGCAACGTCATGTCATGTAAGGTATGGTATGGTCTGGTATGGCATGCATTTGCACCTGTATACAAATCTGTAGGGGACCCTGTACCGGTAGGCTTTTCGCAATCACTCGTAATATGTCTGGTGATCCTAGTGGGTTCGTTGTTCAGTGGTTTTCTTTCAATATCTTTGGCAGGTTTGCTAGGACTTTGTTCAGGATTGACATTTGATCAAGCTTTGAGTGGATGGACCTTAACATGTTCGACCCGCCCTCAGTGTAAATATCTGAAAATTGTGTTCCCCATGATCGAACTACAGGATAGATGTCAGGTGGGGGCCAGGCTGCTGCCTGCCCTGTTTGGATGCGTCGCCAAAAGGTGCCTAGCTTCGGGTTCCCCCTATCTCAACCTGACTGGGTGTGATGTGTGAATGCACATTGCGGTGCAGAGGTCAAAAGCGTGCATGCAGGTGTGACAGAGCAAAGTTGGGATTCATCTTGATCAAAGTCCAGCAGCAACATTGATGTGTGGAGATCCCACGAATGTTCATCAACCGAACGGAAGCAATCAACTTGTGACACAGAGGAAGACTGGAGCGCAGAAAGACCTTGGTAAGATGTGCACCATCAGCACAGGTAATGTTGTTTGTCTCAGAATACTGGCTGCTGGGAGAGCTGAAGTTTGGCTGGCACGGACTGGAAGGTTGTTGTTCCCCTGTTCCCTTTCTGCTGTGTGTGTTGTTTCAAGACAGATTGTCAAAACTTGTGACTTAGCTTCAGACCTCCGTGAGGCATTGATGCTGTTCACGGAGCAGTTCCCTCAGCATCGGGCGCGCGAAATTGCTGGTGCCATCCAGCGTGGGGCTCGCTTCATAGAAGCAATGTATCTTGCACGGAAGGTCGGTTTGGTTTGGTTCTACGCATGGAAAAGCTTGTGCGAAGAATAACGCTTGATCTAAGGCATTGTTCTGTAAGAACTAAACTAACTAACACCTATGACCTTAGATTCTGTTGTGGTAGTTAGGTTCCCCAAACAGATTGCTGTTGGGGTTCTCTTTTAGAAGAAAGGACACTGGCCACAGTCTCTGGCGTGCCCCTGAACCCTGTGGCCTCGTCCGGTCCTTGTCTTGGGTCTGTGTGTCCCTGTGTTGTTCTTGTTGGCCTCGCCGCCTTGTCCAGGCCTTGTCCAACGCTTGGGTTGTCTGCCCTTTGCTTACCGCCTTGTCCTGGCCTTATCCCCTGCTTGGCCACGCAGCTTTCCCTTGCTCCACTGCCTTATCCGGGCATGCTTTCGTGTGGTATGAATGCAGCAGTGATGCGGTGCTTGATGTCATCCTTGGATTTTTCAAGACATATATCCTGGGAATCAGGAACTATTGTTTTCTAACATGTTTCCCCAGATAGTGAGAGCTATTGGGGTTCTTACTTCAAGTATAGGAAGAGGAGCCTGTGTGCGCTTTGGAGCTTGGGTGCTGGTGCCGCTGCAGGGTGCAGCTGCCAGATGTGTGGCCGTGTGCGCTTTGGAGCCTTGGGTGCCGGCGCTGCTGGAGAGTGCCGCTGCAGTGTGCCGCCGACAAAAACGATTTGCCATGCTGGTGTAGTTTGTACACATGCCACTCCCAATGCAGACGTTACCACCAACATTGGAACTCAAGGAGCTGACGCCGAACAATCAATGCTGAAGCTGTTTGTGGTCTATGCTGGCATAATTTCGGCCTTGACCAAACAATTCTGGTTCCTTTTCCTTTAGCCGCTTCGCTTTGCCTTGTCGAGCTTCAGGCAGCGAAGCGACGGAAGTTGGTATGGATGCTGGGGCAACTGCTTCACATACGGTTGCTGGTTTGGAATTGAAGGCCTCCCGGCACCGTACTACGAAGCGGGTGCCCACTTGCCACTTTCCAGGTGCATTGGAAAGCTTCCATTTTCCATAGGCTCCAAAGACTCTCAAGCTGACATTCCCACAAAGACCTTTGCACAGTTCACCTGTGTTGCCCTCGCAAACAACTGTGAGCAGGGTGGTTCCCCGAACAGTTTACTGTTGGGGTTCTTTCTTATTGGCGTTCTTTCTCAGGAAAAACAGACTGGCCCGGTTTGGCCGTTCCGTTTTCCCTTGCGCCAACATTGGAACTCAAGGAATCGACACAAACAGATCCTCCTGCTGTTCGGGGTCCATGCTGGTATTTTTTTACATAGATGACAACAGTGACGTCAAAGAGTTACTTCCAGTTTTCTTAGCTAAGGTGCTTCACATTTCTCTGGCAACATTTTCTAATCATCGAGATGCGAAGGAATGCCCTCTGCGTGCGTGTGAGGCCTTCTGTGTGCCGGAAGGCCAGCATCCTGCAGACCCATAGAGGCATGTGTGAAGTTTCTGCTAGGAACTTGGCGGCACAAGTGCCTGCAGGCCGAATTCGAATGGTGTCTGAGAATGCTCTAGCCGAGGAAAGCAGAATTCGGATGGTGGGTGGGGCGAAGACTTTGCGAGCTGCTTCAACAGAGAGTATGCGGCAAGGGAGAAGCTCTACGGCGACTTGGCCTGTTTGCACAAACAAACATTTGGAATGCTTCACGGGGGGTCACCGCTCAGTACCTAATTTGCAATTCTGTGAATTTGGTGAGAATGTGATGTATTGCATTCATTCACACAGTTTGGGCAGGATGCGATTCGGGGAGTACTGTCGTTCAAACTTCTTGGGCATTGCTCGCACTCATGGCGGCAAACTGCAAGGATACTTTTGTTCATTCTTCTTGGCAAACCACAATTTCGAATGGTGGTGCAACCTCTACTTTGTTACATCATTTATTTTACTTTTGGAGGATATCGAAGCGGTTCAACGTGGAATTGCGCTGCTTCGGCGACGGCAGTTGTCAACCGGAGACTGGCCACAGGAAAATGTTGCAGGAGTGCTGGAAGCTTAGTTGTCGAGCTGCCATTGTGCCATGGAGACCAGTGGCTGAAGATACAATCCTCTCAAACCTTTTGCATGCCCCAGGTTCAATCGTTCCATCGGGATTACGTTGCCCAGCTGCGCTTTTGTTTCTCTAATTCAAACCTTGAGCGCAGCTTTGTTTGAACACCATCTTCAATCAGGTACACTGCCTTTCGAAATGTGTTTCCACTATGGGCGATTGGACGTTTTGCGGCAGACTATGGACCTCGTCATGGTTGCAAATGAAAGGGCCAAGGGCTAGAAACAATGTTCGCTACTAGGAACAAGTGCATCGCTTCTAGTAACAAGTGCCTTACTAGTAACCATGTTTGCTATTAGAAACAATGTTCGCTATTGTATTTTCCACAGTACAGGCCCACATTTGGGCTTTCGCCTCCTGACTTGGCCGGATCGGCTCGGAATGGACTGCCGAAACCCTTGCACCAGTTCTTCAGGCTTGCAAAGACAAGTAAGACATCAGCCAGCGTTTTAAAACAAAAAGAATCCGATGACCATCTCGTCAACGGCCAAGTCGGCATTGAAAGCTGTCGCCAACTCCTTGACACATTGACATTCTGAAAGCATTTTGGCCTCCAAGGTCAAGCACGAAACTCTGAGCGCTCAATATGTGCCGGGAGCTTCAAGTTCACTCTAGTCCTTGGAAAGTGGTCTATATATGGTTAATTTGAGCCGGGTGATTAGTAAACCACTAATGAGTCGAGTCATTTCCACAAGGATTTGAGGTTTCGTTCGCGTGAGTCATCTGGACCGCGTGATCATGGTGCTTTCGCATGCAATTTTTGTATTGCGAATGGATTCAGACAAAGCAGGCCGTCAGCAAAGCCTTTGCTTCCATCAATATACGAGACTCCTGACACTGAATCAATCCACATTTTGGCTCCAAACTCCAAACCTGGTTTGGGCTTTATATACTGGAAGACCATTTGTATCTTGGCTAGGCTTTGAGAAATGAAATCCCTGTTTCCAGCTCGAATTGGGCGTCAGGCAAACGAATCCAATCAAGTGAGTCCAATCAAGTGAGTCCAATCAAGTGAGTCACGCAATATTTTGCTGAGACCAATCACCTGTGACATGTATATATATATATAAATTTGTGCTTGGTTCAGGTTGGTGTCTGCAGCAGGTGTTGCTTGTTTGGCCTGCAGGCACGATGTCTCTCAGTCCTAACCCCAACTTTGACATTGATGCGGCAAGGCTTCCTTCTGGAGTGTCAAGGCGCGTGCCACGTGTGGCCCTCATAAGCTTGCTGTGACGAGTGAAGGTTGATCTTCTAGGCAGATGTATGTGCGTCGGTGCTTGATTGCTTGATTCCTTCAGGTTGGGTGTCATCAGCTGCAGTGAAAGCAGCCACGGTGACGCAAACATTCGCTCCGTGTCCAAGCTCAACTCTTGTGGCATTTTCCGTAAGTGCATCTACTTGCCAAGAACTTGCTTTCCAAGGTCTCCTACAACATTGAAGCTGTTTGCCAGAGAAGAGCTGCAGAAATTGCAAGCACAGATGGAGGCAGGCTCAAAATAGGGATCTCTTGATTTCGGGTAAAGAACCAGGAGGAAAGAACCTGTAAGAACCAGGAATCCTCAGACTTGCTCTTCGCTGGGAGTGTAGGCAACGCCCATGAGATGGGCAACAGGAGCCGACAGCACTGCTTGAATCCCAGGGCTGTAGTATTGTGCTAGCTGGGTCTGGAAATTCTCGTATCGTTTCGAGGCTCAGGTGGAGCGGCATCATCAAACTCTTCGTTGGATCGCCCAGACCTATTCGCAGATCCAGAATCAGTTTCCCGGCGACCTCCACGAGGACATTGATTCATTTTGTTTCCTGGTTTGCGAAGGCTTGTGTTTCAAAACATCTCTGTTGCTTCAACGGTTCTCAGGAGGGTGCAGAGAGACTTCGAAAGACCCTGTGTTGGCTTGTAGAGCAATGCGAGGTGCGACTTTGGCCTTTGGATTGTCACAAATCGATGCTTTACCTTTTGTGTGCAGGAGGTCGACGCACACGCAAAAGGTTTGCTGGCAAGGACGAGTGATTCTCGGACCTTGTTGAATTTGCACAGCGAGCAAACTGAGCAAACCCAGGACACCAGACAATTTCATCTCCACGCCCAAGTACTATTACTCGGAGCGGGGGTATTTGTCTTCTACATGTGGCACCAGCACAAGGCCCAAACCAAGCCCGCATGCGTGCTTGCTAGGAATTGAGGATGCGGCGGAAATGTCTCCATCCAGCTCATCATCAGGTGCTGGTTGAAAGAGTGCTGCGATCAAATTGGAAGAAAAGGTAGACGTCAATTGGATTGGAGAACCAGTCCGTGAGGCATTTGAGAAGAAAGAGTTTCTTCGCTTCCTTTGTACGGAAGTGATGGCATTCCTTCGGATGGAGGACTGCTGATGGTAGTGACAAGAGAGATAAGAAGCGCCAGTGAGCACAGCCTCCATGCTCGTGGATTTTCAAGGAGCGCTTGCATGTACTTTCGCAGACTGTCAGCCGGAGCCTAAGCATGGAAAACTGCCTAGACATTGTTGAACTCTGATAACCGATCGTTGACAGGCGAGCCTGTCCCTGGATACTGGGAGCAATGCGGTCAAGCTGCCCACAAGAATGCAGCTGGCTCCTCTGTCATGAAACAGGTATGCAGTTTGTACCTGAAACACTGACTGACTACTAAGACAGCAGTTTCAAGCTCAAATCCTGATAGGTCGAGTTGACCGCAGCATTGATGGCATCTTTTGAAGCTCCACAGGTGCCTGCATTTCAAAAGCCAATGAACATGTATGCGTTCACAATACAGCTGGTGTGCGATATGCTGACAAGGTAGTGGATGAATTGCATCAATGCTCCAAGGACGCATTGGTTCTTAGCTTGCTGGGAAACGAAGCAGGACCCAAGTTCCGTTCCATTCGTGCGATGAGCAGGAAGAGGCTCATGTTTGGCACGACATGATCGATGGCCATGCCCACAGATGACTCTTTTACAGTAGTTGTTTACTGATGGGCAAAGCCAAGAACTTGAGAGAATCCTAGCAATCTTGCTTCAGGTTCCAAGGGCCGAGTGCGATTTGGACCCTCAAGTTCACTCTCACGAGAAGAGAAGCTAGAGGCATGCTGCAGTCAATGATGAGTCCAAAACCTCATACTACTTTCTGTGTACACACTATGACTCTAGTTTTGGTGTTGGTAGAATTCCTTTCTGCTTTAATGATCTACCCACACCCCAGCTGTTTGTGGTGGCTGGAGCAGTGTGATTGGGTTGATCTCTGCGTTGTGTGGTTGCAACATTACTGTTGGCAGAGTTTGAGCAACTCACTTTGATTTTGGTACAGGGCTCGCATTTGGAAACAATGCAACATGCCCGTGGAGTGAAATTCTCATGTAACATCCGGGTTCCTGTCATTACGTCGTAGTTGAGATTTGTTTTGGGTACTGGCCTTACTTTGCAAAGGTGGTCCCCTAAACGGCTCCTGGTCCTGATTGGATAGTCTTGTGATCATGTCGGAAGCAGGCCCCACCCGCAAAGTATAGAGTGTCATGGTATACAGTATACTTGTTCTTTTCGGAGGGAGCAGGCATTTGCGATTTGAGGTCCTGTGATGAGTTTGTATCTGGAAAGTATCAGGAGAAGTGTGAATGGGCAAATCCCTAAACAACAGACTAAAACAAATGGTAACAAACCAGCACAATCGCTCTTAATCGGGTTGGAGGCCATTGAGGCCATTGCTATTAGGTTGGAGGCCGTGGCTATTAGGTTGGAGGCCATCACTAATAGGTCGGATGCCATCGCTATCAGGTTGGAGGCCACTGCTAGTAGGTTGGAGGTCATTGCTATTAGGTTAGAGGCCATCGCTATTAGGTTGGAGGCCATTGCTATTAGGTTGGAGGCCATCGCTATTAGGTTGGAGGCCATCGTTATTAGGTTGGAGGATATTGCTATTAGGTTGGAGGCCATTGCGAGTAGGTTGGAGGCCATTGCCATTTGGCTGGAGGCCATCGCTATTAGGTTGGAGGCCTCTTAGGTTGGAGGTCATTGCTATTAGGTTGGAGGCCATCGCTAGGCCAACTACCGTTTACACCGCACCACGGTTTACACCAACCACCGTCTATATACACGAAGCCACGGTTTACACCAACCACCGTTTACACCAAACCTTGGTTTACACCAACCACCGCTTACACCAATCCAAGGGTTTGTACCAACCACCGCTTACACCAAATCATGTGTTTACACAAACCAACGTTTACACCAAACCTCGTTGTACATGTCCATATTTAGAGGTAAATGTGTGGATTCCACCAAGCCACCACCTGCCGGCTTTCCTACCTTTCGTTTCTCCTTCTTCTCAAGTAAGTTGAAGGCCATGGCTATTGGGTTGGAGGCCATTGCTTTAGGATGGAGGCCATCGCTATTAGGTTGGAGGCCATGGCTATTAGGTTGGAGGCCATCGCTATTTAGGTTGGAGGCCATCGCTCTTAGGATGGAGCCATCGCTTTTGCGTTGGAGGCCATTGCTATTAGGTTGCAGGCCATCGCTTTTTGGTTCCAGGCCATGGCTATTAGGTTGGAGGCGATCGCTTTTTGTTGGAGGCCATCGTTACTAGGTTGGAGGCCATGGCTATTGGGTTGGAATCCACAAGAAAAATCAGCAACGCAAAGGGAGCAACAGATCGTCAAGAATCAGCATGCCACCACCACACCATACCAACAACGGACACAAAGCAATGTAAGGAGTGACTTACTGATGCTTTGGGAAGAATATTATGCAGACTCTTTTTGGCAAGCAATGCAGCATGACTAGCATCATTTGTAGCTGTTCTTCAACCATTGGTATCGCAATTGAAAGTTCGTGCCAAGCAATGCAGCAACACACACACACACAC